ACGGGCGGAGGGTATAAGGCCACAACGAATCATCTGAGGCGTTTGTTTACTTCTGACCTCCAGACTGATGGATCTCACTGTGAGCTTAGTTGTCTTTGTGCCACTGATTAGTAGCAGGGCTTTAACGTGGGTGTTATTGCAGCCACTAGGGATTTGGACAACTCGTCGGATAAACCATGTTGGAGTGGGAACTGCTTTCTGTAGGAAGCCTGCATCCCGTCCTCCAGAGTAACATTGCCAGAAGCGGGCGACACTTCCTCATCATGTCCACCGCGCGCCGCGGTGGTTGTAGTAACGTGGGGCTGATAACTGCTTTAAAGTACACAAGAAAGACTACTCGCTCAGCGTTGGATTTGGTTTTGTAGCGAGGAAAACAAACAATGGCTGCCTAACAAAACAAATTCAAAGTCTAACGGGGCGTGGTTTGCAATTCGCCCAGCCAATAGAAATAGAATAGAAATTGGAACTCTTTTATCACCAGGTTCGTACCACCTCTAGCAGGGACTGAAAATGGCCAAAAGAGTTCCCGGCACTGAGTAGTCCCGGCGGTGTGAAAGCGACATTATTGGTACTAACGGAACTAAAGAACCAAAGTACCAGGGAAAGTCCTGCGGTATGAATGCGGTTATTGAGGAAGTGGAACACACATTAGACAACCATTTCATTGCAGACTGTTATGTTTACGTGGGGAAATGACAGAGCATACATTATTTGAGATAGACTATATTTTGAAGTCAGACTGAATTTTATGGACATTTCGGCCAGGGGTGTAGAGCTATTGGTTTAAGCACCGGATTGGCAAAACAGGAGAGTCTGTAAACCAGTCTGCTTTGATCTATGAAATAATGTTCGTGTATTCGGTATTTGAATGTAACATTTTAAGACAATGGATTTTGAAAAGAGAGGAAAGTGTTTTCCTGTAAAATCTCTAAGGACAATTCCCGTAAATTAATTGCTCTTGCACTTTATTTCAGTTAAAGTATTTTACTGTAATTTAATGGTTTTTGTTTGCCGCTGCTGCCAGTACTTTGACCGTTTTTTTACGATTTTTTTTTTTACAGTGTAGGGTTAACACATTGTACTGATTAGCTAAGGAGCGGGACTTCTCTAAGCGAATGGCCTATCACAACAGAGTTGTCAGCTAACCAATCAGAGCAGACTGGGCTCTGGTTTCAGAGCTTTTTGCACATTAAAGCATGAAAACATATCACAAAATTAAAATATGAACCTGAAAAATATGTGGCTCTTTTAACAACTAAAGATGACTGGATTGCAGTTGGTTTCAAGGTGTATTTGATCATTAGCCAAATAAATGGGAAATTCATTTCATGAAAATCCGTAACTGCTTAATCCTAAATAGTTCTTGAGACTTTCATAGCTGTAACAAAATGTTGGGGACATTGTGTCAAGATGATGTTGAGATATTTCATGGGATAAGTGAATAATAAATAATAGAGTGTAGCTGCTTTTAATCCCCCTCAAAAAAGACAACTTTCTCATTGTTTCAGTGTTAATTTAATAATACAAATGCTTAATTATAGATACAGGAGAAAAAAAAAAGAAGCTTTATTTTGACAGTTTCTCTTCAGATAAATGTGCTATTTTAGGACTATGTAAACGTTCATCTCATCCACTCAACATGCCACCCATCTCAAACCCGTACATAGTCACAAACTAAAACTAGAGAATGAATCCAGCAAAAATCTGATTTCTCACCATCTGTCTCTCTCTCACACACACACACACACTAAAACACACACAAGCAAGCTCACAAAAAAGGAATAACACACAAAAGTAAAATAAAGACTGACGTGACTAAAAGAGGCAACGCAGAACAGTGTATACTGTTTGGGAGGAGGAATCTCAGCTGACTACAAATCATAGACTGTAAATACAGCAGCGCAGAGAACACTGGTGAGTTTAACAAACGCATAATCATAGAAGCTTCAAATATCATGAAAACATTACTGTTCATAATTATGTCAGGGAGAAGTTGGATACATTAAAATATCCTTTTAGAAAAAAAATGTAACCGTATCATGAAATTCTGTCAATAACTTTTCCATATTATTTTTAAACCCTAAAGACATAACGTAACAAATGCACTGTCTTACATAATGAACAAAGTAAATGTATAAAGTAAAAAAACAAATTCAGGTGGTGATAGCAGACAGGTTGTTTAAATCAGACATGAGCACTTTAACAGACTGTTTAAAACTTAAAGCAGCAAACAAAGGCCTTTAGGGGAGAACACATAGCAAAACAAACCAATACAAATGCTGGAAAATGCTGTTATCACAATCCACAATAAGCCTCAGAAATGGTGGACAGTGTTGTGCAAATAGCAGTATCAGAACGTCAGAGCTAATAAAACTTACCATTCATTTCCATATTCAATTCAAAACAACTTATCACTTTTTCTTTGCAATGTACTCAGCATGATGCCAAAATGAAGTTGGTCATTTGATTTTTAGCACCACCTGCTGGCTGTAAATGGGACTTTTTGCATCTGCAGTGCGGAGTAACGCAGCAAATAAATAATAACAGGGCAATTAGTGAGTCAAAAATGGTGTGAAAACAATACTTCAGAGGTACATGTACAGAAAAGTTCTCCATACTGATTTGTGAATAGACATGTCATCCTTTGCCCAAGTAGTATAAACCATTGTTTTATGTCAGTTAAATCCAAAGAGAAACCAAAACATACACTTACAGGCGCGCACACACACACACACACACACATCTACTGAAGACAGGAAACTACAGTCACTCACCAGGCGAAATAGATTTAAATGGCTTTTTTAAACCCTTCCTCTCACCCCACTTGCTCAAACTCACTCATCCTTTTACGCTTCAGCATCTATTTAAAGCAAAAAAAACACCATCAAAAATACACACACACACACACACACGTCCCATGCAGCCTGAATCGACTGAACAGATTAGTGTCGTTGTTCTCTGGATTTTATCTTTGGGAGAGACAGGGTTCCTACACAGGCATCTTTTCTTTGCAACGGATGAAACTGAGAATATTTTTCTGATCACTTTGAATGCAAAAGAGAAACTAGTGTTTCTTTAAGATATGATGAACATGGATTTGTCACTGCACAGATAGTGGAACCTCTGATGGAGCTGTTGGTATTATTGGACTTGTATTGTTGTGGATGGATACTTTTAGTCCATTTAAACGGGTTTAATAAGTTAAATGAAATGGTGTGTGTGTTTGTTTCTGTTTTTCTTCTTGTGTTTCTTTGACTGAGTATTCAAAATACCCTCTTTGAACCCTAGCTCTGCAAACCGGGTTCAAATAACGTCTCAGTTTAGTGTGAAAGTGTGAACGCTGTTAACACAGGAATCTTTCTCTAGCATCCATCCCATATGATGTGAATAGGAAAAACGTTTCAAAAACTAGAGCAATTCTACTCCACTGGTTGTTTAACATGAAACGTGTGAACGGCTTTCATCTCAAAGAAAATTGTTTATGATCCAAGCACTTTTTCCCACCTAAATCATAGATCCCAAAAAACGTTCAGGCTTTTTTTTTAAATGCTTTTCAAGGACTCAAAATGATCACAGTTAATTTTTAAGTATTCTCAGCTAGACCTGTGTAGGAACCCTGGAGACAAAGTACTCTACTGTCCAAGGGAATAACAAATTGCATGTAGGTTGTTTAGGGTTGACTTCCCCTTTTAATTAGGCGTGTTTTACAGTGGAAATAAAAATAGTTGTGTGTATCTATTTTGAAGGTTTTATAGCACTCTTAAATGAAGCATTCACTCATGCTTATCCGGGTGTGGATGTCAGGTGGGACGCTTCACTGCAGCGGGTAGAGTCCATCAGCTCACTGGAGTTTGTGTTTCAGTGGAAAGGGCCAGGGAGGTGTGGGAGAAGGTTGTCATGAGTCAATATAAAAACAACTGTTCCTCCCCCCCCCCCCCCCCCCCGACGACTCCTCTACGTTTTAAGGACTCCCAGGGTGTTCAGCTCATCATCCACCATGGTGGAAAGGGGGGGGGGGGTCTTTGTCGTTCTAGCTCTGTCCAAATGGATAGGGTCCGTGAATGCCCTGAAAAAAGACATGAGAGCGAGGGGATTAGAAGAGCTTATACGGAATAGAGAAGTGAATACATGTAAAGATGAAAGTAAAAGTGTTTAGAAGAAGACAAGAATGTTGAGAAATAATGACTGTTTTTGTAAGCAGTTTCATGTAGGAACTATTTTCTTTCCACCAAACTAAGAACTGTCACAAGTAAAAGCCTCTTGCTCATGAGTAGTGTAATTTGTTAGTATAAAAATAGTTCCTAGTATCCAGTCTCTGGACTATCTTGAGTAACCAGGTCATCATTTCTGGAATAAGATGTTGTTGCTGAGTTCTTTAGATGTTAACTTTTTTTGGCACAGCATCTACAATTATT